GTTTTTTAAAAAGAGCACTCAGTGCTCTTTTACAAAAGGATTTGGGGCTGGGCGGGGTGGCGCACGCCTTTAATCCCAGCACTTGGGAGGGAGAGGCAGGGGGGACTCTGTGGGGTTCACACCAACCCGCTCCACCCAGTGAGTTTCCGGGGAACCGGGGGTCAAGGGGGAACCCGGCTCCAAAAAACCGAAAAAAAAAAAAGAGGATTTGGAGACTGGAGAGATGACTCAGTGGTTAAGAACACTGGCTTCTCTTGTAGAGGACCTGGGTTCGATTCCCAGCACCCACATGGCAGCTAACAACCATCCATAACTCCAGTTCTAGTGGAATCCATTACCCTCTTCTGACCTCCTTGAGCATTGCACAACTTGGGTGCACTTACATACATGTAGGCAATACTCATACTCATGAAATAAAAATAATAAATAGAATATTTTTTTAAAAAAAAAAGATATTTAAGGCTGTATGTGGTGGCACACGCCTTTAATCCCAGCACTTGGGAGGCAGAGGCAGGCTGATCTTTGTGAGTTCGAGGCCAGCCTGGTCTACATAGTGAGTTCCAGGACAACTGGGGCTACAAGGAGACCCTGTCTCAAAAAGAGTATATATGAAAAAAAAAAAGATATTTATATGGGGGCTGAGAAGATGACTCAGTTGGTATTTTCCACGAAAGCATGGAGACTTGTTCAGATCCCCAGCACCCATGTAAACCCTTGACACAGTAGTGTGCCTGTAACCCCAGTGTTGGGACGAGCAGAGATAGGTGGGTCACTGGAGCTCATTGGCTAGCAAGCCTAGAATCAAAACGGGTGGAGAGACACCTGATATCAACCTCTGGCTACCACTTGCACATCTTGCACATGCATGCACACTCACCCACACACCTCCATGACATTTACACACACACACACACACACACACACACAGTTGCGATTACATTGTTGTGAATCAGAGCTCCAGAACATACTCATCTTGCATTTCTGAAATTCTGCATCTGTTAAACAGCCCCGTTCTTTTCCTTCTCCCTACTGCCAACTACTGTTCTTACTTTCTGTCTATGAATCTGGCTAGTTTACATAACTCATGAAAGTGTAGTAATACAGCATTTTTTTTTTCTTTTGAAACAGAGCCTCATTATGCAGCCCTGACTGGCCTGGAACTTGCTATGTAGACCAGGCCAGTCTTAATCTCACAGGATAGATCCTCTTGCCTCTGCCTCCCAAGTGCTGGGATTAAAGGCATGTGCTACCACGCCCAGTGTTAATCATGTATATTCTGATGCTGTAGAACATTACAGTATGTCACAGTGCTGCACTGATAGATTTCCCAAACAGAAGTCCTTGGATCAAAAGCAGAGTGTGCTGATTTTGATGCATGCCTGTATTCCCAGCACTCAGGAGACTGAGGCAGGAGGATCAGGAAATCAAGATGAGGGATTCCAGCCTGGGCTACATGAGATCCTATTTCAAAAAACCCCAACCCCGGAACCACAAAAGTGCCTGGCAAAGTGGTTAAGTAACATCTAGCAGCTATCAGTGGCCTTCAGCTGCTGTTCCCAGCCTGGTTCCAGCCCAGCACTGTTGGTGGTGTGTGCACTTTCTCATCTTGGTGATTCTGGCTGTGATAATGGTTTACAGAGGTTTGTTAATAGTTTGTGATCTCATATTAACAATGGGGCCTTTTATGTGTAGAAGTTATTTTAAATGAAAGGACCATTTCCAGGTTCAGATGTGGTGATATGACATAGCAAAGATTTGTGGTTTTAGATCTACAAATACAGAATTTAGAATAAACTGTAGATGGGCCATTTTACATGGAGACTCTGCCAAGACTTGTTTTTAAAAAATTGTCTGACTCTGGGTTTCCCCAGGGCGGTTTGTAAGGTTTGCAGGAGAGCTCAGGAGAGGGGAGCATGGGGCCAAGGCTTGCCCAGCAGCACTGTCCCTGGGTAGAGCCACTTTAACCTTTGTGTCTGTTTACAAGAGTGTGTGGAGCCTCTGGCCAGGTTTCCCCAGTGTCCTAATGGGGCTGTGCCCTGCCTGTTTGTTCTGGCAGCCCTTACCTGCAGTTGCTAACAGGCTGCCTCACTTTTTCCAAAGCTGGTTTTGGAGAACATAGAAATTCATTATTGGACTCACTTTAAAAAGTTTTTGGTTTACACTGAACATATGTCAGTACCTCCCAGAGAAAGGTAGCATTCTCAAACAGCTATTCTCCATCCTGAAGTTTTTGTAATATACACAGAGGGGCTTCAGTATATTCATGTGCCTGTGAGTCCTCTGGTTTCAAGACTCCTCTGCCTGATTCTGTTTGCTTTTGTTTTTGTTTTTTTATTATTTTTATTTTGTGTGTATGTGTGTATTGCCTACATGTAGGTAAGTGCACTGTGTGCAATGCCCTTGGAGGACAGAAGAGGCCATCGGATCCCTGGAACTGGAGTTACAGACAGTTGTTAGCTACCCTGTGGTTGCTGGGATTCGAACCTGGGTCCTCTGTAAGATCAGTCAGTGTTCTTAACTGCTGAGCCATCTCTCCAGCCCCCTGATTGAAGATCTTAGTGTTTCATGTACTCAGAGAGTCAGGCTTGGTATTGCAAAGGCTAGAAAACTGGTAGTTGCGATGGACCAGCCCAGACCGGAGCAGTTCAGTCCAACGGGAACAGGGTCCTCGAGAGAGTGGAAAAGGATTTGGCGAGTGACAGACAGACACACAAGAGCTTGGTGAAGGTCTGAGTGTATTTTTGCAGCTGCAAGGTTTGAAATATATACAGCAAAGATTGCAAAAGTTCATCATCAGCATGACTGTTCTGTAATTAGTCACTTCCTAAGATTTTCAGTAAAAGTGAAACAATTTTGCCAACCATCATGTATAGCCAAAACACATTTCTTTATCTTATCAACCTGGTACCAGTCAGCAAATTCTTGCTTTATGATACTGTGATTTCTACTACCTGCTTTTATTACACACTCAGAACTCTGCTTAGTTTTGTGATTTCATGTCAGGATGAAATTTCAGGTCAATTACCAAGTACTTACCACCAAGTACTTTCAATATCAACTGTGCCTGATACTACATTTTTAACTGTTTGATAACATTTCTTGCTTATTTGTAGTGGGCCATCAGGCTTCTAAGTCATTCCTTAACCCCTTAGATCCTAAAAAATTATTTTATGTTAGGGACCTATGAAACCATTCTTTCCTCTTATTTTTTTTTAACTTTTAAATACAGTCTGTAGTTGTCTTTTAATGCTCTCTTGTTGATTTTTTGTCAAAAGACACCAAGGTGGTCTTGATCTTGCCAGTTTATTCATGAACTGTAATGAATACCAAGAAACCCTTTTTTTAATTTATATTTACCCATCTATGTCTCTCTTTTAGAAATCCGTTATTTCCTGGACTTTTTAGCATTAATTTTGCTTAACTACTTCTTGCTGTATCTAAAATGGCTTTCATTAATAGTGATGCATCTGGAGGCAAAGTTGTCTCAGGTGATTGAGTTCCTGAGAACTCTTTCTGCATACTAGGATAATTAAAAGATTTTAATAAAGGCAGTGACAGTGGTGTCAAGGACACCAGGTGCTTTCCGGGTCCCCTGAAAGCCCATGATACAGTGACAGAAAGAAAGATAATAGCAAGTAAAAGCATGCCAAGTACACTGCATGTTTTTTAGCACAGCCAACTCCAAGAGGCAACCTTCCTTGAAGTTTCGGCCTCAACCCACGGAGGATCTCACACGGGCTTTATTGGAGATGGCGTGACAGGTAGTAGTCACAAGTCACAGGGATCACAGCCTACAGAGCTGAGACCCTTAGGATCTCTGGTTTCTACCTCCCTGCCAGTGTACCAGCAAAGGAGTGTGGGTATCTGGCACTGGGTGGGTGGTAAGAATTTGGGATGTTGGAAGAATGAACAACTTACTTGACTAGGAGTATCATGTCTTCTCCACAGAAGGATCTCGTGGCTGCATTTGACAGTGGAGACCAGAAGGTGTTCTTTGATTTATGGGAGGAGCACATTCCCAGCTCCATTCGAGATGGTGACTCCCTGGCCCAGAAGCTGGAATTCTACCTTCACATCCACTTCGCCATCTATCTGCTGAAGTATTCTGTAGGGAAGCCGGTAGGCTGACCTAGAGTTTGGGTCATTCCTTGTTAGCCATTGAGTATTTCAAGGCAGCATTGCTTTAGATCTAAGACCATTTCATCATACACCTTATGTCCTTATAAATGATTTTTGGCCTCACTCTCAGCAGTTGATTTTCTAATTTATATGGAGACTTAGTAATTTCTGTAATAAAAGCTATGTTGTTTTCCTAAATACCTCAGGTTCTTTAAAGCTCATCAAAGTAAATTTTTATTTGGCAACTTGGTCTAGATAAGTATCTAAGAGAAGACATAACAGGGGCTGGAGTGATGGCTCAGCAGTTAGGAGCTCTTACAGAGGACCTGAGTTCAAATTTCAGCACCTATGTCAGATGGCTCACAACTGTCTGTAACTCCAGTTCCAGGGGATTTGATGCCCTCTTCTGGCCTCCACAAGCATCAAACACACATGATGCACACACATACATGTAAGCAAACACACATACACATACATTCACTAAAAAAAAATGAAAGATGGTAGTATTAGCTCACATGTTTAGAACATAGATTTCAGTATAAGTAGTGGAGAAGTAGTATGTCTATTTTAGAAAGTCCTTGGGTTGAATTCAGCTTCTACAGTCTTTTCCCAGGTGGGCTGGAGCTGAGGAGATCTGGAGGGGGAGAGCACTGGAGCCTTGAGTACAGAGGAAACTGGCAAGGAGAGAGGGAGCAGGCAAGGTGACATTTAATCATTCACATCAGTACTGCCCTGAGGTCCTGTGTGAACTCATTAGAATGCCAGGGACCCCAGATGTGTGAACAGTGCTGAGGAAGCAGCATCCTAGCACCTTGCAGAGGCTGTTCTTAGAAGGCTGTTCTCTAGTATGGCCCATGTGGGGAAGGTGTGGATGATTCATTTTTTGTTTTGTTCTGCCTTGATTCTGTTTCAAATTTTTTTCTGTTTTGATGTAAGATAATCATTGCCAGTGTAATCTATTTTTAAGTCCAGTGCTCAGAAGAGGGACTTATGCATAGGCTGAATAAAGTGTGTGCTCAGGGAGGAACAACTGTGTCCAGAGCTTGAGGGCTGTCATAGGTGCAGCTCACATAGTGGGGATGAAAAGCACCAGTTCTGAAGCCTCAGTGTCCTTGTTGAGGCCACATGGCCAAGAGCCCTGAGATGGGAACTCCCTTGACCTGGGTTGTGCATGGGACAGTGATATGGACAAGGTCAGTCCTGAACTTCATAAAGGGAAGGAGAACAGGAAGGACACTCATATTTCAGGAAATTGTAAGGACATACTTATTCCCCTTTAGAAGCCTCTCCAGGGGGTATCATGGGAATGCAGACAAATGTTTGTGTGTCTGCCATGTGGAATGAGCGCATCTCATAATGGTAGAATTAGTAAGATGGCTTATGGTAGGCAGGGTTAGAATTGGTCATGAAGAATTTTAAGGACGTGAGAAAATGGTGCTAGTGATGGATGAGTGCATGGAGAACTTGTGCATATAATCCTCCAGCATTCCTGTTGAGGTGAGGTTAGACACTGGAGCCAGTCTGTCTGCCAGGCCTGATAGGCAGCACGAGTGACATGATGAACCTAGGGAGCCTTGCAGAGTGGATGGGGTGAGCAGGAGGACAGAGTACTGAGCCAGAGACCCCAAACAAGTATCCTCCTTCTTTTAGGACAAACAGGAGCTAGATGAAAGAATTTCTTATTTCAAAACCTACCTGGAGACAAAAGGGGCAGCACTGAGCCAGACAACAGAGTTTCTTCCTTTCTACGCCCTTCCTTTTGTGCCCAACCCTATGGTACACCCCTCATTTAAAGAACTCTTTCAGGTAAGCAGCTGCCTTTGGAAATTGTATCAGAGCTTGCTCAGCATTGTTTATGCTGGTGGTTGATGTCCTAAAAAACTTAAAATTGGCCAGGCATGGTGGTGCATGCCTTGAATCCCAGCACTGTGAAGGCAGAGGCAGGTGGATCTTTGAGTTTAAGACCAACCTGGTCTACATAGCAAGTTCCAGGCCAATTGGGGCTACAGGGAGACCCTGACTCAAAAAGGCAAACAAAAATAAAAACCTTAAAATTGGGTACTGGAGAGATGACTCAGCAGTTAAGAGCACTGGCTGCTCTTGCAGAGGACCTGGGTTCAGCTCCCAACACCCATATGGCAGCTCACAGCTGTGTCATAGTGTTTACCATGATATGCAAGCTTACATTAGAGAACCACTTCTCCCTTCTTATCTAGCCGAGGTCTACAGAAATGACTCCCTTTCTTTGGGAATCATTCAGTTACCTAGAAATCATTGTTTGTGTTGTCTGCGCAGTGTCATGCATGCTTGGACTGTATGGAATTATTTTTGATATTCAGCCAAATAAGGTTACTTGTCTTGCTTGTGTTTAAATCACATGAAGTATTAAAATCACATGTAAGTTATTTTTCCCTACTGTGAGTACTTGAATCCTCTCTAAATGAATCAGTCATATATCCTGCAGCCCGTTTTCCATGTTCTCCCAACCCTGGTAGAATGTCTGACATTTGGTTGTTTGGCCCAACATCTACATCCACAACTTTGAAGGACATTGAGTGAGCTGATGTCTTTCTTTTTTTCCTTCTTCAGGGTTCCTGGACTCCAGAGTTAAAGTTGAAGCTAGAAAAGTTTTTAGCTTTACTTTTTAAAGCCAGTAACACACCAAGGCTTTTAACCATCTATGTATCCTTTGGAAGCAAATAGGGACCCTGGTGGGACAGCAGCACACTGGCTGCAGTACCTGGACAGGGGCTAGCAGTTAAATATACTGCTTTCATATTTGCGAGGTGAATGATGCATTTATGGGAGGCCATGCCAACCTGGAAAGGGTTGACTTTGTGTCATTGGCTCTCTGAGATACCGCCATGGTGTTATTTTGATGTCACTGGCATAGAAGTTGTCTTGGTAGAGAAAAAGAAAATGTATCTTGTTAGAAAAGAACTCCTTGGAAGAACTGTCCCTTTGCAAAAGGTTAGTCAACTGCATGGGAGGCCTGGAGGCCATAGTATATCAATTCAACTTGTCATTCAAATCCAGACTTCTGTTTAGCAGCTTTATTGTATAATTTACATACCATAAAGTTTATCCATTGTAAGTGTATAATTCATTGATTTTTAGCAACTAGATACAGCTGTGCAGTCATCACTATAATTCCAGTGGAGGTACTTTGAGAGTTCAGAGGGACAGGGTCAGAGCCTGAACAGCCTTGAACCATTCCAAGAAAGACAGAATGCTCTGTTGCCCCACCCATTCAAGACCCATTTCCCAAAGGTTTTCAGTCTGTAAAGACACATCTTCTCTTTTTTTTTTTTTTTTTTTTTTTTTTTTTTTTTTTTTTTCCCTGTAGCCCCAGCTACCTGGCCTAGAACTCACTATCACTATGTAGATCAGGCTGGCCTTGAACTCACAGAGATCTGCCTGCCTCTGCCTCCTGAGTGCTGGGATTAAAGGTGTGCACCAACATGCCTGGCTTTTTTTTTTTTTAAAGAATATGTTTATTATTCCAGAGAGGCAATTTTTAACACATTTTTCCAGAAATAACTTGAATCAGGTTACATAAAACTATATATACAATGAAGTTTAAGGCTGGAAAAGTTGGGAAAAGAAATCAAAGACTAAAGCTGGGCATGGTGACATGGCCTCAATCCCAGCACTTGAGATGAATAGCCCAGCAGATCTCTGTGAGCTCGAGGGTTCGAATCCCAGCACTGAACAAAAGGGGGAAAAAGAAAAGTTGCTTGTAGTGATGGTTGCATAGCTCTTAATATACTGAAAGCCACTGAAATGTGTACTTTGAATAGGCTGTTTGTAGCATATGTAAATAAGGTTGTTAGTAGAAAAGGAATATTTAAGATAAAACGAGGAAAATATATGCCTTCAATCATGCAGACAGATGCATAGGAGCTGAGATGAACCCTGGCAGCCTGGCTCCAGATGCAACCTTTGCCTTCTCTCCTGGTCTGTTTCCTCAGGATGAAGTGTTAGAGCTGCAGTGACAGTGTTGGGATGGTTCAGGTCGGCTTGTTTAGAAGGCTTTGCCAGCAGCAGGAAAACCTTTGGAAGGGGCAAGCAGGTCAGTGTGGAGGCTGTGGGAATAGTGTAGGTCAGGGTTCCCACGGAGCCACTGAGATGGAGAGAAGGGCTTAGGAGTGGCTCTTTACACTGACTATGGAACCCACTGTCCTGAACAGTCTCTTCATCGAGCTGAGGTTCTTTCTTAGATGCCACACAACATCAGATACCTTGAGTGCTGTGCCTGATGGACCTGTTTTCCTGAACTTCTTTCTCATCCCAGAAGGAGAATGGACAAAATAACAAAGGTAAATCAACTGGGTTACAGCTTTCATGAGAACAGCTTTGCCAGTTCAACTTCTAAGCTGTGAGAAGAAACAGAGGAGAGAATTTGTGGACTTGGCAAATGAAGGCTTTAAAAGTCTAAATATTTACAGAGTACCTTGTAATTGTGTCATGTGCAGTTAGTTCCTTGAGGCCTACTTTTCAGGATGGCTAGTATGTCAGCTTGACAGGCACATTAGATAGCTAAGTCCTGGGGAAGTATGGAAGAACCAAGTCACAGCCAGGAGGGAGGAAACCTCAGCAGCTCAGCTAGGACACACAGGCCAGTGTGGGATTGTTTTACTGTCTCAGCCTTTACTTTGAACTGATCAAGCAAAGTACCTTTTTTTTTTTTTTTGAAACAAGGTCTCCCTGTAGCCCAAGCTGACTTGGAACTCCCTATGTAGACTAGGCTGGCCTTGAATCCGCCTACCTCTGCCTCCCAAGCACTGGAATTAAAGACATGTGCCACCATGCCCGGCTGCAAAGTACTTTTATATAAAGCATTTTCCTTTTTTTTAAAATCTTTTTGAGACTGGGTCTCCCTGTAGCCCCAGCTGACCTGAACTCACTGCGTAGACCAGGCTGGCCTTAAACTAACAAAGATCCACCTGCCTCTGCCTCCCAAGTGCTGGGACTAAAGGCATGAGCCACCACACCCAGCAAGCATTTTCTTTAAAAAAATTTTTTTTAAATTTTTATGTATGTGCATGAATATTTTGCCTGCATGTATGTAAGTGTACCCATGTTGTGTGTTGCCCATGGAAGCCAGAGGAACTAAAGTAAAGACAGTTAGCTGCCATATGGGGTACTGAATCAAACCTGGGTCCTCTGCAAGAGCAGCCAGTGCTCTTAACTCTTAACCTCTGAGCCATCTTTCCAGCCCCATTTCCATTTTTAAATTTTAAAAAATTTTATGTGCATGAGTGTATTGCCTGCATGTGTGTAAATGCACCTATGTTGTGCAATGCCCGAGGAGGTCAGAAGAGGGTGTTAGGATCCCCTGGAACTGCAGTTATGGATGGTTAACTATCATTTGGGTGCTGAGACTCAGACCTGTATCCTTTGCAAGAGCAGTCAGTGTGAGCTATCTCCCTAGCCCCCCCCCTTTTTTTTTTTTAACATTCAAGTTAATTCCAGTCTTGATTTTTAGCGTTAAATGATGTTTTCTCCTTGGTCAGTAACTTTTACCAGAGCTGGTCATCTTTCAGGAAGGTGAGAGCCACTAGTTATATGAAGTTGGTGTCCTCATTCACTGTGCTTTGCTTCAGCTCTGTCTTTGATATTACACTTTGAAAATGACAGAATTGCTGTGTTGGAAGTGTGTACAATGAGCTTCATACATGGGTACTGATGGCATGATCCTCAGTTCCAGCAGATAGAGTTTGCTACATGAAATTTTTGGTCCATGAAATAGCAACAAAACCCTATTCAAAGAAGAGCAATGCCAGAGGATTTCAAAACATCCTACCTTTGCTTTTCTATGCTTTGTTTCAGAGAATTCACAGTGTATCACCTCGCTGGGGGTTGTTTGCAGGGACTCCAGCCCTACAGGCTCTCTTTTGAAATCTTGGTGGAAGCCACTGTGAGTCTATAACTTAGATTCTGCGTGCCTGGAAAACCAGTGTCATGTGAGTGACACCAGAGTGTGCTGCCAGTGGAGGATATATCCAGACCCACTAGAACTTCAGCTTCAGTGACCTGGAGTGCCTTGCTCACTGAACACAGGCATCCCAAGGCCATTCTGAGTGGGGAGGGCCTCCTTGGACTTTTTTATTTTTGAGATGGGGTCTTCTGATGTGTAGCACAGGCTGGGCTCCCAGGACTCTTTTCTTTCTTTAAAAAAAATATGATTTTTATTTTATGTGTATGAGTGTATTGCCTACATGTATTGCCTGCATGTCATACAATGCCCTCAGAGGAGGGTGTTGGATCCCCTGGAACTGGAGTTACAGACAGTTGTTAGCTGCCATATGGGTGCTGGGAATCAAGTGCTCTTAACCACTGAGTCATCTCTCTAGCCCACCAGGCTTCTTTTCTGAAAAGATTCTACCCTGGAAAGTCTTTGAAACAAATTTATACTTCATATATGTAAGTCTGTGATTTGTGGGTGACCTTGCAGGTTTCTGAGTGGTCCTCCAGACATCTTTCCTAGTATATTAATGCAAAGCACTTGGCTTCCTTTATACTGATCTTAGACAAAGGGCTGAGATGCAATTAAGCTTTTTACCAGAGTGCCTTTCTTTACCAGCCATGTACTTCTTGGCCATTCCTGACAACTACCCCTTTTTTGTCTAGGCTTTTTGCTCTTGATTCTCAATGTAAATTTGGCTAAAAGTAGTATTACCTGTACCATAGCCCCAGTGCCCTACTCTCTTGAACTACATCTGTCAAGTGATTAGCTCATCATCTTTAAGGCTGGAGATCTGACAGTTCCAGGGGCATGGACAAAATGTTTCAATATTCTTTGTCACAATGCAACAAGGATAGGCTTTCCCCAGTAGAATTCTCCACCTGAAACCACAATGTAGTTTATTATCCACCTTTCTCTTGGCATTGAAGCCCTCCCTGATCTACCTGTTAAACTCAGAAACTCAACTTTGCTTTACAGCATCTTAGGATTTCTTGAACCTCTTTCTCCAAAACCTTCCAGACTCCTCCACATTACCAGGTGTAATAGTAGTCTGTGGCCCCGTGTCTTAGTACCAGTTTCCATTGCATATCCCACCCCAGATGTGTACTAGTTCTGCCAGCTGTGCTGTCCCACTCAGTACTCAGAGTGGTTCTTGCTGAATTGTCATGGAGGAGCCGGAGTACAGCTGTTTCCTCACAGGGTCCGCCTGGAATGTGTGAGAGTCACTAGGCTACTGTGTGGCAGAACACAGCCTTGGAGCACCTGAGATTTCTCTGCCCACCACGAAGGTATGGCTGTGAATTCTCAGCTCTCTGTGTTGCTGCTGGCCTGACCTTCATATAGTCAGGCCCAGTCGTTGGCTTGGTAGGGCCTATGCTAATTTTCTCATATCTAGCACAGCTGACACTCAAACAGGGCCAAGCATTTGCGTCTGGCCTTGCAGTTCCTGGGAATGACCTTCATCCTGTAGTTTTGTTGCTGCCACTGTGTATATGGGTCACATTTTCATCATCCACTCATCTGTTGATGGGTATCTGGCTGGTTCCATCCCTTGCCATTGTGAGTAGAGCAGCAATAAACATCGGTGCACAAAGTGTCTCTGTTAGAGTCCTTTGGGTATATGCCCAGGAGTGGTATAGCTAGGTCATATGTTCTATTTTTAATTTTCAAGGAACCTCCCTGCTGCTTTCCATAGTGGCTATCACCCACCAGCAGTGAATAGGAGCTTCTGTTTCTCTGCATCCTTGCCAGCATTGTTGTCAAATTTCTTTTCTTTAAATATGAGTGTATTGTCTGCATGCATGCAAGTATACCTGTGTCAAGCAGTGCCCATGGAGGGCAGACGAGGTTGGATCCCCTGGAACTGAAGTTACAGACAGTTGTTAGCTGCTGTGTGCACTGGGATTTGAACCTGGGTCCTCTTCAAGAGCAGCCAGTGCTCTTAACCGCTGAGCCATCTCTCTAGCCCCATCAAATTTTTGTTACTACATTTTTGTATGTATGTGTGTGGGAACACATGACACAGTGTATGTGTGGAGGTCAGAGAACAACTTGCAGGAGTCCGTTCTCTTCTACCTTGTGGTCCTGGGATCAACCTCAGGTTATCAGGCTCAGTAGCATCTTTGTTCTCTCAGCCATACTGCTGGCTCTTGTCAGATTTCCTGTTTTATTTTTATTTTGTTTAAGTGTTTTGCCTGTATGTAAGTGCACCCATGCATGCAGTACCCAAGGAAACCATAAGAGGGCTTGGATCACCTGGACCTGAAGCAGATGGTTGCCAGCCACCATGTGAATGCTGGGAACTGAACCCAGATTCTTTGCAAGAGCAGCCAGTGCTCTTAACCTCTGAGCCATCTCTCCAGCCCAAGTTGTTGGATTTCTTGATGTTCTCACAATTCAAGTTAATTATCACTATCTCCATTTTATAGGTTAGTAACAAGATTCAGAGGAGTCAATATTTTGTCTAATTATCTAGCAAGAAAGTGGTAGAGAAAGGAATTCTTCAGGTCTTTAAAATGTTTGAATCTCTTCACCTGTTCTTATCCAAAAGGCCAAGAGATGATTGTTTCTCTCTCCTATCCTGAAGTGAGATCTAGTCTAATATGAAGTGTAAAGTATTGTTCAGGGCCTGGATCAGTGCAGTAATGAGCTAACCTGGGTTGGAGCAGTGTTATCTCCTTTTACCTGAATGGAACCTAGGTGGCTTGATTACCAGCCTGTACCACTTCTGAGAGACATGGAACTTTGGGAGGTGAGGAGTCAGGTTACTGGGGTGTGCCTTCCTTGCTTTGTTTGCCAGTCTTTCATGCCATGATGGATTACTGTGTTGCCACAGGCTTAAGAGCAGTGGGCCACCAGGTGTGGTGGCACACATCTTTAATCCCAGCACTTGGGAGACAGCGGCAGGCAGATCTTCGTGAGTTGGAGGCCAGCCTGATGTACATAGTTCCAGGACAGCTGGGGCTACAGGGAGACCCTGTCTCAAAAAGGACCCCTGGCAAAAAAACAAAAAAAAAAAAAAAAAAAAAAAAAGCAATGGGCCATTGGTAGACTGGATCTCCAGAAACTGGGAGGCAAAGCAAACCTTCCCTTATTTAAATAATTTCTTTAAACGTTTATTTATTTTGTATGTGCATGAGTGCCACAGCACACATGGCAGTCAAAGGACAATGTGCAGAAGTTGGTTCTTCTACCCTGTGGGTCCTGGGGAATCAAACTCAGAAGCTTGGTAGCAAGCCTCTTTACCTGCTGAGCCATCTCCCTGGCACCCTTTCCTCCTTTTAATTTGATTCCCTGAGTATTCTTTCTCAGTGGTAGATCTGCCTGGCATAGTACTTTAGGGTATGCTGGTGCTGCTTAGGATTTGCCTCCTCTGCCTGTGACTGTTTGGCCTCATTCTCGCCAAAGCTGCCCTGGGAAGGGGGTGGGGTGTATGTGGTTCCAAAGCAGTGAGCCCCAGAACTTCCAGGCTATTTGCTTTCCCCTTTATCAATCAGACAGAATGAGAACTTGGGGTCCTTTTATATTCGTCTGTAGTTTTGCTTGTTTGTGACAGGATCTCACGTAGGACTGAACTCCACGTATAGCCAAGATGAACTTAAACTTCTCATCCTTCTGCCTCCACCTCCCTGTGCTGAGATTTACAGGCCTGGCCACATGCCTAGTTTCCTGTAGTGCTGGCGATCAAACTCAGCGCTTCATGCATGCTAGGCAAGCACTGTACCAACTGAGCCACATTCCCAGCTCCAAACACTGGAATTTTATCACATCCTGGATGCTTATTTTTTCTAATATCTGTCAAGCAGCCCCAGCTTTTATTTAAAATTAAGAACTTGGCTGTAGGACTGGTATGATGGCTTAGCAGGTAAAAGCGCTTGCTGCTAAGCCTGACAGTCCAAGTTCAATCTCTGGAACCCACATGATGGAAGGAGAGAAGTAACTCTCATAAGTGGCATCTGACCTCCACATGCTATTCACACATGCTCAAATACACATGCACATGCACACAAGACAAATAACTGTAATAATTTTTTTAATGTACGATGAAGACCTGCAACTTCATAACACAAAACCAAAAAGACGGAGGTTTGCCTCAACCATTTAATGAGCTGAATATAGAAGCAGACATTATTTTGTATCGTAGACAAAGAAAAGAACTAAAGAACTACAGAGAAAAGAACTAGAAGAAATTTTATGGGGTCCTGTCTGTTAGGAAAGCCAGTAATGATTCATTTGGATTTCCAGAAACAGGAAAATTTAAATTGGTGATTGCAAAACGCTTTGTAGACCCATGTGGCATGAACCAGAAGTAAGGTGTTGAACAGTGTTGACTTGGTTGTCATGGTAGAGTATTCTGGCAGTGGATATGGAAGTGCTTGGAGAAGAATTCAGTTGGTTGCACGATTTGCCACTGTTCTTAGCTTTGGCTTTCATGTGAACTGTCTTCCTAGAAATGTTGCAGCAGCTCCACCAGCAGCTCATGGAGGCTGAACGCCGCTCCATGACATACCTGAAGCGGTACAATAAGATCCAGGCAGACTACCACAACCTCATTGGAGTCACAGCAGAGCTGGTGGATTCCCTAGAGGCCACGGTCAGTGGCAAGATGGTAAGGAACATCCCCTGTTGTGTAGATTTCTCTTTGAGAGAAGGCAGTGCTTGGGGCCTGGGCTGCTGCTCCCTGCCCCTCACTTACCAATGGAGTCTCATGTTTCAAAAAGCCAGTGTGGAGAGACCATGCTGATGTTTGACATACTCTAACAGCATTTTACCTATGTTTTGAACACATGATCTGTTACATTGCTGTCTGTTTCTACCTTATTATAAATGCTAGCAATGGAGAAATTGTCTAGACGGGGTCTCCCTGTAGCTCTAGCTGGCCTCAAACTCACTGTGTAGACCAACTGGCCTTGAACTCAAGAGATCCTCCTGCCTCTGCCACCACGTCCAGCTCATCTCATCAATTTTTTAAAAACTTTTTTTTTTTTTTGGTCTTTTTGAGACAGGGTCTCCCTGTAGCTCCAGCTGCCTGGAACTCGCTCTGTAGACCAGGCTGGCCTCGAACTCAGAGATCTGCCTGCCTCTGCCTCCCAAGTGCTAGAATTAAAGGTGTGCGCCACCACACCCAGCTAAAAAACTTTTTTTAAGTGTATGACTGTTTTGCCTGCATGTATGTGAGTGTACTACGTGCATGCAATGCCTGTGGAGGCCAGAAGAGGGCATCAGATCCCCTAAAACTGAAACTATGGATGGTTGTTAGCCACCATGTGGGTGATGGGAATGGACCCAGGGTCTTTGGCAAGAGCAGCCAGTACTCTAAACTGCTGAGCCATCTCTCCGGCCTTCATCTTATTATTTAAAAGTTAATTCTACCTTATTCTAAGATGGACAGTCATACTATCTTCAAATAATAACATTTCTTTTGCTTTTCTTAGTAATCATAACTTTATTTTGTTTCCGTCTTTTTCTTATTACGTTGGTTAAGACCTAGGAACCATTGTTGAATAATCTTATCCTGGGCATCTCTGTCTTACTTCCTATTATAATGGGAATGTCTTTTAGTGTTTTACTTTTTGTATTTTTCAAAGTAGTAAGTAAACTTTATTCAGAATCCAAGCACAGATTAGAAATAGCTGTTAAGAGTGATGGCGGGCTACATGAGTGAGAGAACTCAAAGGATGCAGTTTTTGTTTTTGAAAGAAGTTCCCGCTGTATAGCTCTGGCTGGCTTAGAACTCACTGTGCAAACCAGGCTGGCCTTGAACTCACAGAGATATGCCTGACCCCTACCTCCCAAGTGCTGGGAATAAAGACTTGTGCTACCATGCCCAACCCATGTCATTCTTAAACGTTCTACATGATTCCATTATAAGAACAAGCCATACACTGCACCGGGTGTGGTGGCGTACACCTTTAATCTCAGCACTTGGGAGGCAGAGGCAGGTGGATCTCTGTGAGTTTGAGGCCAGCCTGGTCTACATAGTTCCAGGCCAGCTGGGGCTACAGGGAGACCCTGTCTCAAAAAAGACAAAAAAAAAAAAAAAAAAGGATGAGCCATTGTCAGCTCTGATGATGAATATTTAGAGTTCTTTTGTTTGCTGTAACAGTGCTGTAATGAACAGTCTTGTATATATAATCTGCATATCTTTGAATGTAATAAAGACAATATCTAAAAATGAAATTGGCTGAATCAATATTTTGGTAGATGACACCAAATTACTTTCCTAAAATTTTGAACAATGTCTACCCTTCGGGAGTGTCAAAGTGCCTTGTCCCCATGGGCTTGGTGGCAGCGCCAGGTGTGATTAACTTTTATAGCTGGTTTAGGTGGCTTACACCTGTAATCCAGCACTTGGGGAGTGAGAAGGAGAAGGATTGTGAGTTCAAGGCCACCTTGGGCCTTGTTGGCGACAGGAAGTCAACATGATGTTGTCTTCACTTGGCAGTTTATTGGTATCTGTCATTCATTCAGCCAACATCTCCTTAATGCTAGGCATATCTGTGACCGTATTCACTCATGGTGACCCAGGCAGGTGGGCATCTTTGATCTCACAGCTCATGGATACCAGAGACAGAGCTGTTGGTTTTATGAGTGAAAGTCTAGAGCCCAGATCTTCAGATTTGAAGGTGGCAGCCTTACCACTTACCATAACCACCCGCTAACTTTTATGCCTTGAATTTACAGAAGTGGTTGACAATTTGATTATTTTCCATGGCACTCAAAATGTTTCAAATGGAATGATACACCCTTTGAAATGTGGTCTTCATACCTATAGTTGTTTTTTTCCTTCTGTCTGGTCCCCAGAGCTGTGAGACTGAAGCTGAAAAGCTTTCTAGCTTGGCCATTTCATCATTGCACCTACGGGAAATGTTGAGGGGCCTTAGGTCCTGCAGGCAAGTTGCATGTCTTTCACCTGATGGACTTGGCCTTACCCTTCTTGCAGATCACCCCTGAGTACCTGCAGAGCGTGTGTGTCCGCCTCTTCAGCAACCAGATGAGGCAGAGCCTGGCGCACAGCATGGACTTCACAAGACCTGGGACGGTGAGGCGCTTAGGGCAACAGGGTGCCTGGGTTTGTTCTTCCAGATTTAAATTGAGTTAATGATAGAAAATGAAAGCCCATGAGAAAACCACATTCTAGAAGTTCTGGTACAACTGGCTTTGTCTATCTAGACACTCCCAGAAGGCAAACAAAGTTGTTTCTGAGGAGGGTGTGGCTAAGGGTCAGCCCTTTGGGGCAAGTAAGGAGAGGGCCGTTGTCATCTGTTAGGGCAGCCATTCTTGGGCATCGAAGGCTGGGAGTCAGTAAGAACAAACAGAAATCCTACGTTGTCTTTTAAAAGAACTGGCTGGGCATAACAGTGCACATCTTTAGCCCCAGCACTCGGGAGGCAGAGGCATGTGGATCTCTGTGAATTTGAGGCCAACCTGGTTCTTCATAGCTAGTTCCAGCCCAGCCAGGGCTATATAGTGAGATTCTGTCTCAATAATAATAATAATAGTCCCAACACTCGAGGCAGAAACAGGTGGATCTCTCTGAGTTCAAGGCCAGCCTGGTCTACATAGACAGTTCCAGGCCAGCTGGGGCTACAGGGAGACCCTGTCTCAAAAAGACAAAAAAAAAAAAAAAAAAAAAAGTTGGGTGTGATATTGCACCCTCATAATCCCAACGCTGAGGAGGTGGAGACCAGCAGATCCTTGGGGCTCACTGGCTGGCCAGCCTTGTTTTCTTGGCCAGTTCCAGATCAGTGAGAGACCCTGTGTCAAAAAAACGAAGATGGTTCCTAAGGAGCAACACCTACGGTTCTCCTCTGACCTCCACACGTAAACTCACACATGTGCATACACAGCTGCAACACACATGCACTCTCACACATTCCAGCATTCATGCACATGCACACACACAGGAAAGAATTGTTGTATGGGTAGGTTAGAGGTTGAATGATTTAAGGCAAAACTTTAGTGGTGTTTTTCTTAACTTTATGTTCAGAATAGTTGCACACTTACAGGAAAGTCAAAAAAGCAGCACAAGGAACACTGGTATCCCCTTTAGCCATGTTTACTACCTTGATTCTCTCCCCCTCCCTCTCCACCGCCCCCCACATGAACACACATTTAGTTTTATGAACTCTTTTTTTTTACATTTTATTTGTTATTTTTATTTTATGTGTATAAGTGTAATGCCTGCATGTATGTAAGTGCACCTGTGTCATGTAATGCCTGCAGAGGTCAGAAGAGGGTGTTGGATCTCCTGGAACTGGAGTTACAGATGGTTGTTAGTGCCACGTCGGTGCTGGGAATCGAACCCTGATCCTCTGTAAGAGCAGTCAGTGTTCTTAACTTCTGAGCCCTCTCCCCAGTATGTATTTCTTGTGTCAAGCTTGGCGGCTCACACCTATGACCCCAATACTCAAGGGCTGAAGCAAGGGGAGTACAGCGATTTGGAGGTCAGCTTGAGCTACATGGTGAATTTGAAGCCAGCCTGAGCTACAAAGTGAGACCCTGTCTCAAAAACTGGAAAAAAACGGGGAGGAGGAGCTAGAGAGATAACTCAGTGGTTAAGAGCACTGGCTGCTCTTTCAGAGGACCTGGGTTTGGCTCCCAGCACCCACATGGTGACTCGCAACCATCTGTAACTCCAGTTCCAGGGAATCTGACACTTTCTTACTGTCTCTGTAGGCATTGCATGCACATGGCACACTTACATACATGCAAGCAAAATACTCATAAACATTAAAAAAAAAAAAAAAAAAAGGAGAAAAGAAAAATAAAGATTTGTATTCTCTGGGCTGGAGAGATAGCTCAGCAGTTAAGAACACTGGTTGTTCTTGCAGAAGACCCAGGTTTGAATCCTGGCACCCACATGGCAGCTAACAACTGTTCGTAACTCCAGTTCCAGGGGATATGACAGTCTATTCTGTGCTCCTCAGGCATTGCACGACACGGGTGCACATACCTACATTCAGGCAATACACGCATACACATAAAATAAAAATAATAAAATTTTTTTTAAATTAAAAAAAAGACTTGTATTCTCTTACATAACCATATAATTACCAACTTTAGTAAATGTAATTATACTCACACACACTCTCTTGAATCTGCTCATTTCCATATAGCCGTTGAGCCTGTACTTCCTTTTATAGCCACTCCCCTCGGTAGGCTATAATCAGGTGTATATTGTCAGGATTCTGTAGCTGCTTTAAAAAAAAATACTTTATTATTTTTAATTTTTGTGTGTATAAATGTTTTGCCTGTGTGTAAGTGCACCTGTGTTATGCAGTGCCCAAGGAGGTCAGAAGAGGGCATTGGATTCCCTGGAACTGGAGTTACAGATGGTTATTAGCTGCCATGTGGGTGCTGGGATCGAACCCAGGGCCTCTGGAATAGCAGCCAGTGCTCTTAACTACTGGGCCATCTCTCCAGCCCCTCTGTAAAAGTTCCCCTTCTTTAAATAAACAGACCATTTCTCCTTCTGTTTGATGTTACCTTGTGATTAGGCTCAGGCTTGTCCTGGGTTGAATGTCACCAAATGATGGCATGCCCTTGCAAGGCCACATATCTGAAGGTACGCAAGGTAGAAGCAGGGCGCCTTAACCCTGGAGAACATCAGTATCTCCAAAGACACCATTCAAAGTGTGGTGCTTACATCAACCTGCTGCCTGATGCAGAGGCTGGTGGGTGAGTCCAGGTACACAGATCTGAACAGGGCCCTTGATGATCCTCAGGCACCCTGTGGGTCAGCACCATGGCTTTGAAATAGAGTTCACACACTCAAATCAGACTCTTCATAGAGGTTGCTTTTAGTAATTTTCTTTTTTCAAAGATTTTATTTATTTATTTATTTATTTATTTATTTATTTATTTATTTATTTATTTGTGTATGTGTCTGCTATGTGCATGTCGATGTCTGTGGAGGCCAAAAGAGGGCCTTAGAACCTTTGGAGTTGAAGTTATAGGGGTTGTGAGCCACCTGACCTGGGTACTGGGAGCTGAGCTCAGGTCCTCTGCAAGAACAGTAAGTGCTCTTAACCACTGAGCCATCTCTCTAGCCCCTGCTTTTAGTATTTTCAAAAAAAAACTTTACACCGGTGCTACCTCATACTCCAGTAGATTTAAAGTGGCATATGGAGATGTAGAAAACAAATATGAGAAATGAAGAAATAGATGAAAAGTAAAGAGATTATGGGAGAAGGAAAACTAAGGATAAGTAAAACACAAGCCAGGTACAGACTGGGGCCAAAAACGCCTCTCAGGCTGCTGAGCCTCTGGAGATGCTGGCTGCAGGCTAGCCTTTCTGGAAGCCTGTGCCTGAACCACAGCTAGTGCTGTACCACAGTTGGCACAGTAGAGTCTGTGACAGGACTGCTCTCTCCTGCTTGTCTACCACAGCTGGTGCAGAAGGATCTATGTGTGACAGAACTGTCCTCTCTGGTCCATCTACCACAGCTGGCACAGCAGGGTCTATGTGTGACAGAATTGTCCTCTCCTGTCTATCTACCACAGCTGGCACAGCAGGGTCTGTGTGTGACAGGACTGTTCTCTCCTGCCCATCTACCACAGCTGGCACAGCAGGGTCTGTGTGTGACAGGACTGTTCTCTCCTGCCCATCTTCCTATGCTTATTCTTCCCATACTTAGTTTCCCAAGCATGGGCGACAAATCCTATCCTGCCTTACAGATACAGACATCCTTGTAATTCTGTTTTTCCTGTACATCTGTAGCCAGCTTACTTAGTACTAATGTCATTAAAAGACAGCTTCAGAACAGCAGGGATGCAACATGCATACAACAGCAACATGGCTGACATAACTCACAAGAGGTTACTAGTGCTGTCTGTCAGGAGAATGGCCTGCCTGTCCTGGACTGTTCATTGGCATGAAGGTGCAGTTTCTGTCCAAGTTTAGAAATCAGAAGGCTCCAGCTTTGCCTTAACTATAGCCATTTTCTTTCTTCAGAGTCACTTACAGCTGACCAAGCCCACCTCAAGTCGATTTGAGATATAGTTCTCAGGACTGCTGAGTTCTGATGTGAAGAAGGAAGTTAGGGTGCAATAAAGTGGGATTCCACCTACTGGGTAGAGAAGCCTTAGGACTGGAAGAAGGATGCTTACTTGTTATATTTTATTTTGTTTTGTTTTGCTTTTAAATTTTATTTACTTGTATTTTATGTGTATGAGTGTTAACCTGCATGAATGTTAAGTGCGGCATGTATGTACAGTGCCTTTGGAGGTCAGAAGAGAATGTTGGATTCCCTGGTACTGAGTTATAGACTGTTGTTAGTTGTCATGTGGGTGCTGGAAACCAAACCTGGGTCCTCTTCAAAAACAAGTGCTCTTAACTGCTGAGCCATCTGACACTCCTTTTTAATTTTTCTATCTCTTCTACCTGTTTTATTTTATTTTAAATAAAAAAATTACTCATTTTATTTGGAAGGTTCCTGGAATTTATAGATATTTTTATTTTCACATAAATTGCTATGTTTAAATATATCTATTTTAAGCACTATCTTTTGTTTTTTTTTGTTTTTTTTTCCAGTTATTTATTTAATAACCACATACTTAGAGAAAGCATTTCATTACAACAGCATACCTGTTTTATTTTTTAAGAGGATAAATTGTGGCCATCAATTTCAGAATAAATTAGTAGGTCCAGGTCAGCCTCCCATGCAGAGTAGTCCCTACTCTTCAAGTTTCCTGTCATGCCAGAATGTTCCACATAATTGTACTCTGTGAAGGCAATTAATTGGCTAACCCCACCTGAAACCTGCTGGTGTCTGTGAAGTTAACTGCATTGGTGTCAGTTTTAAATCTGTACACAGCCCTTCTGAGCCACTGCAAAACAGACAGACGAACTGGACAGGGTCAGAACATGTTGCCATTGGTGCTGACAAAGCTGTTGGAGTGTGGAGTTTTTGTGGGAACGTACCTTTTGACTCCCAACCTTGGGGTCAGAAGCAAGAGCATTTGACACTTCTGCCAAGCCTGGACTGCTGCTGCTACCACACAGCCAGCACATGGGGGCAGCGTGAGGAGCAGAGCTGC